AAATTTTTTTGTAGAGACAGTCTCACTGTGTTGCCTACGGTGGTCTCAAACTCCTGGGCTCAAGCAGTCCTTTTGTCTCAGCCTCCCAAAGTGCTGGGATTACAGGCATGAGCCACTGCGCCCAGCCAAGAAAGTATTTTTTTTTCTTTTTTTTATTTAGCACTCAGAGGTGGAGTTTTAATTTTTTTAATTTTTGTGGGTACATAGTAGGTATATAGAGGTCAAGTTAATTCTTTAAAAAAGAATATATTGCCAAGAAAACCAGTGTTTTACAAGTGAGCGAGTTAAGTAAAAGCTCAGAATTATCTTCACTGATAAAGGGCATGGATTATCTTTAAAATAACTTATTTCCCTTCTTTTTTTACAAAAGTAATATACACTTGTTGCCAGTTAAAAAAATGTAAGTGAGCAAGAAGAGAATACCCCCCTTACCATAATCCCACAGCCTAATGCAGAATCATAGGTGATACAGCTTTTTCTGTTAAATCTCCATATATGCATTCCAGAAAAATGTCTTGTTCTCTAAAAATATACTGCAAAAACAGAAGTTTTGGGAACAAGCCACTCAAAACGTACACAGTTCTTAAGAATCTGAATACAGTTTTTCATAGAACATATGAAAATGGCCAATAGGGCTGGGTGCAGTGGCTCACGCCTGTAATCCCGGCACTTTGGGAGGCCAAGGCAGGCAGATCATGAGGTCAGGAGATCGAGACCGTCCTGGCTAACACAGTGAAACCCTGTCTTTACTAAAAATACAAAAAATTAGCTGGGCATGGTGGCGGGCGCGTGTAGTCCCAGCTACTCGGGAGGCTGAGGCAGGAGAATGGCGTGAACCCGGGAGGCGGAGCTTGCAGTGAGCAGAGATTGCGCCACTGCACTCCAGTCTGGGCAACAGAGAGGGACTCCGTGTCAAAGAAAAAAAAAAGGCCAATACACATATAAAAAGAAGCTCGTATCATTAGCCATTATGGTAATGCAAATCAAAAGCACAATGATATACCACTTAATACCCACTAGGAAGGCTGTAGTCAAAAAGGCAAATACATAATAACAAGTGTTGGCAAGGTTGTGGAGGAATTGGAACCCTCACACATTGCTGGTGAGAGTGTAAAATGGTGCAGCTGCTTTGGAAAACTGTTTAGCAGTTCTTGAGAGGTTAAACATAAGAGTCAGCAGCATGGTAATGGCAATTTTATTCCTGTCCCAAGATAAGGGAAAACATATGTCCACACAAAAACTTGTACACAAATGATCATAATAGCATTATTCATAATAACTCAAAAGTGCAAACAACCCAAATGTCCATCACCTGATGAATGGGTAAATTAAAAGTGGTAAATATATGATGAAATGTTATTTGGCAAGGAAAAGCAATGAAGTACTGATATGTGCTACAACATGGTTGAACCTGGAAACTTCATGTGAAGTGAATGAAGCCAGACACAAAGGACTACACATTTTTTTTTTTGAGACAAGATCTCATTCTGTATCCCAGGCTAGAGTGCTGAGGTACGATCATGGCTCACTGCAGCCTCAACCTTGTGGGCTCAAGTGATTCTCCTAACTTAGCCTCCTGAGTAGCTGGGACTATAGTTATGCACCACCATACCCAGTTAATTAAAAAATTTTTTTGTAGAGACAGTCTCACTGTGTTGCCTACGGTGGTCTCAAACTCCTGGGCTCAAGCAGTCCTTTTGTCTCAGCCTCCCAAAGTGCTTGGCCTATTTTATTTTAGCTCTTTATTACACAAAAGAAGAGGCAATAGTAAAATGAACCCTCATATGCCCATCACTTAGCTTGAACTATTGTCAACATTTTACTAATTTTACAACTCTTTTAAAGCCAGAAGTTGGAGTTTTGATGGTTTCTGAAGACATAATCTCATCTCTTCCTAAAACAGCCTTGTGAGGTAGGGATCGTTGCCCTATTAGACGGATAGATAGTAACTTATCTGAAATCATTTGACTTGTGATGAACTGAGGACCTCTGCTCTTTTTATGGCCCCATGGAGTCCACATATTTTGTCATTGCAAATCAAAAGTAAAATTGTAATATTTTGTCTCTCAAATATGTTCTAGAAACCATGTCGTTCTACAGGAAAATGCACAGCATGCCACCCGGTTTATAGCTCTGGCAAATGTTGGAAATCCAGAAAAGAAAAAGGTAAAGATTCACCTATTTGGTGGAAAGTTGATACTCACGGTCTGCCTGACAAATGTATCTCTTGCCCAGTTTAGCATTCAGATCTTCTTTCCTCCCTCACTGCAAGGTCCCAGCAGCTTCAGAGACTCCTTGTAAAGATACGGTAATGAAAGGTCAAGTCTCTTTGGGTCTTTTTGTAGGAGAGTTTAAAGAAGGGTTTGGGAAAATAGGCCCAGAGAAATAAAGGCAAAATATCAAATGAACAGTGTTCCTTTACTTTCACATCTATGTGGTTGTCTTTGTGGGTATTTGTGAATTTGCCCTCAGATGCTTGCTTACTTCTTTTAGCAACTTCATTTAGCTGAAATAAAAAAACCCCAAAGAGCTGGGCATGGTGGCCCATGCCTGTAATCCCAGCACTTTGGGAGGCTGAGGTGGGCGGATCACTTGAGGCCAGGAGTTTGAGACCAGCCTGGCCAACATGGTGAAGCCCCATCTCTATAACAAATAAAAAAATTAGCCAGGTATGGTGGGGGGCACCTGTAATCCCAGCTCCTCAGGAGGCTGAGGCAGGAGAATTGCTTGAATGTGGGAGGTGGAGACTGCAGTGAGCTGAGATCGGGCCACTGCACTCCAGCCTGGGTGACAAAGTGAGACTCTGTCTCAGGAAACAAAAAAGCAAAAAAGCCAGAGGACTTACCTAAGCCTTCCTTAGGGCTAAGATTTCCTGAGGGATATCTTAGTGATACCTGGAATCTATCTTTGTACTGGAAAACAGTGCAGTTGATGAAAGAGAATATACCAGAAAAGTAGATTGTTTTTCTCACTTCTCTGAGAGCATTTCTGATTTCCCAGGGCCAAAACTGACCTATTATGGATTGAGACAGCTAAAATAAGAACAGTTAGTGAAGTGGGAAAATAGGCAGATAAAGAGTCTGAAGATTATTCCACTATCACATGCCATAGACAAAGCATACAAAAGATAAGCAAATCGATATATTTTTTTCATAATATTTTAAGCTTTTTTTTGGGGGAGGGGGCGCGGATCTGAAGTGATTTTACCTTTATTTCCTTCACTTTAGGCCAATCATGAAATTTCACAGTGATTTCTAGGGTGGGGACAGAAGGAAGACTGTGTTAAGAATCATCAGGGCTGTGGCCCAGTTGGCCCGCGGAAGTGCAGGCAGGGTGGCCCCTCAGGGGCAGCTGGAGGAGCATGGACTGCCCCGCTGGAGGGGAGGTGATGTTCCCAGAGTATGAGAGCTGGTATGTGATGTCCTCTGTAGCTTCCAGCTTGCGCAGCTCGATCAGGCTGTTCCCTGTGGTGGCCAGTAAGTTGGCGATCAGCTTGGCTGCCTTGGAATCGCCCTCAGCAGAGATGATGGCTGCCTTTTTCTGCTGCTCAGCCTTTTCTACCACAAATCTGGCGCTCTCTGCTTCCTGCTGAGCCACCTGTTTGGCTTCCACTGCTTCTGTGAACTCCTTCCCGAAGGTCAGATGTGTCAAGGACTTGTCATCCAGGATGAGCCCAAAGGTGGCTGCTCACTCCATAAGGTCATTGCTCATCTGCCTGGAGACCAGCTCTCTTTAGGTGATTAGTTCTCCAGCATCAAAGTGAGCCATCACTGACTTGAGGATCTCGGTAGTGATGGACAGCAGCACACGCTCATCATAATCCTCTTCAGTGCTGGTCAAGATGCGAGGAAGCTGGCTAGTGACAGGCCCCCATGTGCACCGTGATGTCATTCTGCATATCTTTGCTGTCAGTGATGACTGGCACATTACATGGTCAAGAACGGCAGTCAAAGATAATTGGTTTCTGTACGCATGGAATGAGAAAGTGAATCCCTTCCCCTACCACAATATTCTGTATTCCACAGAATTGGTCAAAGATGACAGCTCTTTGCCCAGCATCCATGTCATATAGGGCAGAGTTCACCACGTCTCCTGCAACAGCTAAGTCCAGGCCAAACTTGCTGATGGACTCATAACACTTTGGCAGCTATGTTTTCTTCTGCTGGACCCTCTCATACCTGCTTCCATTTTGACCTCCACATAAATTTCCCAGCCTATTTTCAGCTTTTTTGCCCAATTCTTAGCAAGTTTAGATTTGTAATTTTTCTTTTAATTGCCCTTTCAAACTGAATAACACTTAGTATTTTCAGTCTGTTTTATTCTCAGGGACATGTTAGCCTCAGCCATAAGCAACTTATACTTTAGTCAAAAGGTGTGCACATTATAAAATTTGGCAAGGATTATTAAATTCATCTAAAAATTTTGTTCCAATGTGTACCCCTACCCCAGCGGTGTGTTTTGTTTTGTTTTGTTTTTCTCTCTCCATATTTCTCACTGGATCATATCAAAGTTTCTTTCTTTTTTTTTTTTTTTTTTTAAGATGGAGTCTCTGTCTGTTGCCCAGGCTGGAATGTAGTGGCATGATCTCGGCTCACTGCAACCTCCGCCTCTCATGTTCAAGTGATTCTCCTGCCTCAGCCTCCTGAGTAGCTGGGACTATAGACACATGCTACCACACCTGGCTAATCTTTTGTATTTTTAGTAGAGATGGGATTTCTCCATGTTGGTCAGGCTGGTCTCTATCTTCTGACCTTAGGTGATCCGCCCGCCTCTGCCTCCCAAAGTGCTGGGATTAGAGGCATGAGCCACCACCCCCGGCCCTCATCAAAGTTTTATTAAAGTTTTTGCCAATGTGATAAATGATATATAATTGTTACTTAGTTCCTTTTCCCTAATCAGTAGTAAGTTTAAACATCTATATCTTATCTAAAGTTTTCAATATCTGTGGCATTAGTGCAAGATTCCAGATATTTATATGAATATTTACTTCTTTGCTGCTAGTCTCTTAAGAAAATTTTATTAGCATATATAGCAGAATTTGTATAATATCAAGAGAGAGAAACCCCAAGTTCATTTGTAATTTTCTTTAGGAAAAATGAATGGCAGTGCCACAATTCTGTAGACAAAGTACACAAAGATAAGGGACTCAGAGGCAGAAGCAGTTTGTCTTCAAGTGTTATAGAGCAAGTCCCTCTGGGGGACAGTTGTCACTATTCCGTTATTCGAGTGAGAACTCCTGGTTTGTGAGGGCTGGGGCTTTGATTTGTTGTTCATTTCTTTGTCAGCCCTTGGTGAGCCCCTGCAGAGGCCACTGAATTGGCATTTGATTTACTGTTTATTCTCTGAGCTATGGATGGGCTGGTTGCTGTTCTTTTAATTTTACTTAGTTTCACATGTTTTCCCTGAAATCTTCACAGTAAAATAGGTTGATTACAGTTGGGTAAATAGTATATCCCCTAATGTCGTTATGTTCTTTTTCTCTAAAGTATCTTTATGCATTCAGTATTGTTCCCATGAAGCTAATGGATGCAGCAGAACTGGTAAAACAGCCTCCGGATGTCACTGAAAACCCTTACAGAAAATCTGGGCAGGAAGCATCCATAGGAAAGCAAATTCCTGCCCCTGCGGTATGTTCTGATTGAGGGCTGGCATTTTCTGGGCAGGGTTGCCCATTACATGTGTTCTTTTCCTGGTTATAGTTTAGTACATAAGACAAGTTTAATCCTTAGAATCTAGATCTTTTTTTTTCCCCCTTGGGAAATCATGATGATGTTTAGAAAATCTTAGTCGATTTTAACTAAACTTAGTGTTTTTTATTGTAGTTTGGGGTTAACAGTTTCATAGACTAGGTCTTTCTTTGTCCAAACTGGATTCATACGTTTGGGGTTACAGTTTTATTTGTAAAGTCTTTGTCTAAAGTTGATTATCGGTTCTTAGCTCTTTAGGCAAGGCCCTAGCAGTTTCGTAGCAATGTAATTTGTGATTTTATGATGATTGCCAGTAGGAGCCAGTAGGAAAATAAGATTCACTCTGAAGAAATTTTCTTAAGAGCAGAGTTTTCTCAAATTAATTTTTTCCCCACTAAAGCAAGGAAGGTCAAGTTCTCTTACTAGCATGCACGGTCTGCTTTCTCAGACTTTTCTTTCTTTCCGAGCAACCTTCTCATCTCTCAATCAAGGCTGAATTAGGCTTATTTGACCTGTGAAATTGTATGACTACACTATGTCCCTGTTGAGAGAAAAAGGAAGAGTGAATTTGGGTGGGTTCATATTGTTCTGTTTTAGGCAAGAATTACTTTATAACTTGCATTTTAACTTGTTTTTCCAAAGAGATGAATTTGGCAGTAGTTTGGGTAAGCATTGATGTGTGACTGAGAGTTCAGGCATCAGAATTGGGAAGATATTTTGCTTCCTTAGAGTATGCAGAAAGGACTGAGAAGAAAGAAAGATATGGCATGGCAGGAATGTTCCCTTGTATGTGAGTGGTTGGCTACTTATCTAAAGGTTGGTTGAATAATATTTAATCTTCTGCATTTGGCCATTCCAGGAAGAATCAGCCTGTCAGTTTTTCTTTGATTTAAATGAAAAGCAGGGAAGGAAGCGTTCATCCACAGGTAGAGATAGCAAATCTCCTCACCCAAAGCAGCCTCGCAAACCTCGTAAGTACCTTTATTCCAGAGGTCTCCTCTGTGAACAGTAACTGTTATTTTGGCTTTTGTTTGGAAAGCAGCATTGCTAAGAGAGCCTCTTCTGGCAGGGGAGAATTGTGCAATGAGTCATTAGGACCAACAATAAAAATAAAATATAAACATGGCCTTGGCTGGGTGTGGTAACTGCACCATCTTACATTCCCACCAGCAGTGTGTGAAGGTTTCTGCTTTTCCACATCCCTGTCAACATTTGTTATAGCAATAGCCAGTTTTACAAGATAGGTCTCTCTTTTCCTCTCTCATAAATAGGTATGGTTCTCCAAGGGTGATGCTTTTATATACTTCTTGGACTCTCTGTATTTTTAGCCCATCTACTTGAGAGAGATGAGTTCCTTTTGCTAATTACCATTTAAAGTGATTTACTTTGTCCTGAAAAGGCAGTCTTCTGTTGCTTATATACCCATATTGGGATACAAATGTTGATATTCTTGGCCAGGTGCGGTGGCTCACGCCTGTAATCCCAGCACTTTGGGAGGCTGAGCCAGGCAGATGACAAGTTCAGAATTTCGAGACCAGCCTGGCCAACATGGTGGAACTCCTTCTCTACTAAAAATACAAAAATTAGCCAGGTGTGGTGGCATGCGCCTGTAGTCCCAGCTACTTGGGAGGCTGAAGTGGGAGAATTGCTTGAACCCGGGAGGTGGAGGTTGCAGTGAGCCAAGACCATGCCATTGTACTGCAGCCTGGGTAACAGAGTGAGACTCCATCTCAAAAAAAAAAAAAAAAAAAATTGATATTCTTTTTATAGCTTCAGATTCAGAAACTAGAGCTATATGAATTTTTATCTAGATTTATGTAATGCCGGAAACTGATTCACACTAAGTGTAATCCCAGCACTTTGATAGGCCAAACAGCTGGATCACTTGAGGCCAGGAGTTTGAGACCAGCCTGGCCAACATGGTGAAACCCTGTCTGTACTAAAAATACAAAAATTTAGCAGGGCGTGGTGGCACCCACCTGCAGTCCCGGCTCCTCGGGAGGCTGAGGCAGGAGAATCGCTTGAACCCAGGAGGTGGAGATTGCAGTGAGCCAAGATCACACCACTGCACTCCAGCCTGGGTGACAGAGCAAGGCCCTGTCTTAAAAAAATAAAATAAGACTGGCCTGACTTTTAGGCTGTTCTGAGGCGCTTCCTGCAAGAACTATGGGAAAAGCATCTTTCCTTTATGTCTGTAGAACATGATGAGGTAAAGAGCCTCCAAAACCAATATAGATTCATAAAAGAATGATCAAACTCGGAGGAAGGACTTTAAAGGTGTTTCATTGAGATTCTCTTTCTTCGTCTTTTTGTTTCATGGAAGAAGCTGACCTTAGGAGGGTAAATTTTCCAGGGTCATCGCTAATGGCGTAGTTGGGGCTATAATTAGGGCTCCTGACACCCTGTTCAGTGTTCTTTTGTTGTAGCCTGTTGCCAGTTATGTGCTACTTTAGTCAGTGTGTGATTTTGCACTTGTGGGTTACCTACCTGTGGATTGGTTACAAATTCTAATGGAAGTTTAATTTCATTGAAAATGTTCATAGGGGGTCATAGTGAGGAACACAGGCTCAGCCCATTGTGGCAGTGTTGTATACCAGTCTTTTCAGGATATAAAAATCAGATAAGGCTAAGTTCTGTGGGGTGATTATATGCTGTGCTTGGACCATAGTAACACCCGGCTTTCTTTTACATGAAGCTCAGCCTCCAGGACCCTGCTGGTTTTGCCTTGCTAGCCCTGAAGTGGAAAAGCATTTGGTGGTCAACATCGGCACACATGTGAGTTACTTCCTTGGACCTTTATAGAGAAGGAGGTGCCTATTTGTTTTTTAGTAACTTTATTGAGGCATAATCTACATATAACATTTACCCATGTTTAAGTGTACGATTCAGTGATTTTCATAAGGTTACTGAGTTATGCCACCATCACATAGTATAGTTTTAGAACATTTTTATCATGGCAGTAAGATCTCTTATGCCCATTTACAGTTAATCCCTGTTTCCAACTTTAGCCTCAGGCAGCAAGTAGTCTACTTACTATCTCCATAGTTTGCCTTTTTTGGACATTTCTTATAAATGGAATCATACAACATGTAGTCTTTTGTGTCTAGCTGTTTTTACTTAGCATCGTATTCATGAGGGTCATCCATGTTGCAGCATGTATCAGTATTTCATTCCTTTTTATTGCCAAATCATATTCCAGTGTATAGATATACATTTTGTCTATATCCGTTCATCAATTGATGGACATTTGGGTTGTTTCTACTTTACGGCTATTAGAAATAATGCTCCCATAAAATATCTGCATGCAAGTCTTTGTGTGAGTATATGTTTTTATTTTGGATACACCTAGGAATGGATTTGCTAGGTTATATGGTAAATTTATGTTTAACTTTTTAAGAAACTGCTAAACTGTTTTCCAAAATGACTGCACCATCTTATATTCCCACCAGCAATGTATGAAGGCTTCTGCTTTTCCACATTCCTGCCAACATTTGTTATAGCAATAGCCAGTTTTACAAGATAGGTCTCTCTTTTCCTCTCTCATAAATAGGTATGGTTCTCCAGGGGTGATGCTTTTATATACTTCTTGGACTGTCTGTATTTTTTAGCCCATCTACTTGAGAGTGATGAGTTCCTTTTGCTAATTACCATTTAAAGTGATTTTCTTTGTCCTAAAAAGGCAGTCTTCTGATGCTTATGTACCCGTATTGGGTTAAAAATGTTGATACTCTTTATAGCTTCAGATTCAGAAGCTAGAGCTTTATGAATATATATATATATTTTTTTGAGATGGAGTCTTGCTCTGTTGCCCAGGCTGGAGTGCAATGGCGCGATCTCAGCTCACTGCAGCCTCTGTGTCCCAGGTTCAAGTGATTCTCTTTCTTCGTCTTTATGTTTCACGGAAGAAGCTGACCTTAGGAGGGTAAATTTTCCAGGGTCATCGCTAATGGCATAGTTGGGGCTATAATTAGGGCTCCTGACACCCTGTTCAGTGTTCTTTTGTTGTAGCCTATTGCCAGTTATGTGCTACTTTAGTCAGTGTGTGATTTTGCACTTGCTTCCCAAGTAGCTGGGATTATAGGCACCTACCATCATGCCCGGCCAATTTTTGTATTTTTAGTAGAGACAGGGTTTCACCATGCTGGCCACGCTGGCCTTGAACTCCTGATCTCAGGTGATTTGCCCACCTCAGCTTCCCAAAGTGTTGGGATTACAGGCGTGAGCCGCCACACCCGGCCTATTAATTTTTATCTAGAATTATATAATGCTGGAAACTGATTCACAGTAACTGATCACATCAAAGATAAAATTTCAGTTTTGCTTAGTAGTGGAGGGTGTAGCTTACTAATGACAGGAATACCCATATTCACACTCCTGGTGTGAGTATCTAGGAACCCAAGATGATGATAAGGTTGTTTGGTAAGTATTGAATCAGACTATGAGAACGGGATGGTCTTAAGTATGATTTTATTCAGGTGGTGGAAAGCTTGAATGTGTGTGTCTCATGGGAAAGTCATTCTACTTCACATTTCCCCAGATACTTTTGCTTGTGTAGGGCTGGATTAGATATTAAATAATACCCGTCTTCGACTCTCATTTCCCTGGGGGTTTTCTATAGACCATTGTTCTTTTTCATTCATTTAGAATGAAGAAAGCTTAATTTTTAACACTGTAGTCACTGATGACTGGAACTGGATGTTCCCCAGGATTCCTGAGGAAAATATTTACAAGCTGTTTTTGTTTTGTGACAGTTTTGGGAGGTGGGGCCTAATAAGTGGTGATTAGGTCATGAGGACTCTGCCCTCATGAATGGATTAATGTTATCACAAGAGTGGGTTATCATGAGAGTGGCTTTGTTAAAGTGAGTTCAGGTCCCCTTTTGCTCCTTTACTCTTACCCTTACTTGCCCTTCTGCCATGGGGTGATGCAGCACAAAGGCCATTGCCAGGTGTCAGTGCTATGCACTTGGACTTCCCAGTCTACAGAACCACAAGCCAAATAGATTGCTATTCATATAAATTATAGTCTGTGGTATTCTATTATAGCAACACAAGATGGACTAAGACAATTCCTTAAATGTGTAGTGCTTCTGAAGACAGGTGCTGTCATCTATTTCTCATTGATTTGTTCTACTTTTGGTTTCCGGGATTGATCCTTTCAACTTATCCTAACAATCTGAGGACTCTTTTTTGTGTCTTCCTTCCTATAGACTGACTAGAGTTTCAATTTCATCTTGTACTTTAAGGCGGTTACTCTTCTGCCTGTGTTGTTTCCACCTGCAGTCTCAGTCTTTTACATTTTAAAAAATGTCTTGGCTGGGTGTGGTGGCTCATGCCTATAATCCCAGCACTTTGGGAAGCTGAGGCGGGTAGATCACGAGGTCAGGAGTTCATGACCAACCTGGCCAAGATGGTGAAACCCTGTATCCGGGCGTGGTGGCGGGTGCCTGTAATCCCAGCTACTCAGGAGGCTGAGGCAGAGAATTGCTTGAACCTGGAAGGCGGAGGTTGCAGGCCGAGATGGCACCACGGCACTTCAGCCTGGGGGACAGACCGAGACTCTTGTCAAAAACAAAAAAAAGTCTTAATTAGTGGCACACTCCTATCTCTAGGGGGAGCACTAATGGGGTCAAGGCCTGTGACTCAGCTGAGCCACAAAACCTATTGGATGACATCTTGGGTGGAATAAGAGCAAACTTGAGAAGCTCTAGCTTTTACAGCAGTGCCCTTTTTGGATGATCTCTTTTGCATCTTTTTTCCTTTTTGGATTAGTTTATGCCATTTTTCTCTCCCACACAATTTGTATAGTAAGGCAGGCTTTGAATTGCCTTCTGTTTGGGAAGCTTCTGTAGGTTCAAGATCACACACAGGAGATAAGAGATTTGGAATGTGTGACATAGCTCAGTGCTGCTCTAGGCCTCAGTGAGAAGTGACTTTTCTTTTCCGTTCATCTTTCTGTTGTCCAGGTTATCTAACTCAGGGTGTGGGCCTGGGCAACAATCAAGGAAATCTGTTTTCTTCTCATCTAGGCCTGAAACTAGAGGGGAAAAAGGTCTTGTTTGTGGGCCAACCCAACATCCCAAGTAGGCCACATGAGTATTTCAGCCTCAAGTCTACACTGCCCTTAGGTAGAAACCGCTTACAAACCTGTAATGACCTTTGGGTGTCTGGGGAAGGGTTTGGGATCTCCTCCCTGCAACTTTTCTTTTTGATTGCCTTTTTTTGTTTGTTAAATTTTTTTCCCCGACTTTCTCTTTGCTGTGCCTTCCTCAAAGGTAGTACATAGAATTGTGCTGATGGTCCATAGCCACAGATTAGTTAAAAGGTGGAAGGGCTGCTGGCAGTCTAAAAAATTATTGCAAAATCAATGTATTTTACTTACGGGGAGAACCATTAGTTCAGGTCCTATTTATACATGGTTAGAGATAATTCTAGTATAGAACAGATTAGAAGGCGAGATTTTGAAAGAGAGAGGAGATTAGGCAAGTGTGAAACTTCACAAAAATTGCAAGTACAGGATTAGAGATGGTGCAGAGGAGCTATTTAGTTTAGACATCATTACCTAAAGAATGCGTATCATAATAGAAAAGCTGGTATTTATGGCAGTGACCTTCTGACAAAAAAAGCTAGAAGACTCAGGCTTCTAGAGTAACCTTTTAAACAAATACAATATAAAGTGGTTATTATAAAAATAAAAAAAAAATTTTAGTGCCTATGAGGTTTTCATCAACTTTAGTCATCTGGAAAATTAACTTTGTCAACATGCCCGGTCCTCTCTGCCAAACAAGTCAAGGACAATCATGCTTTAGTATCTTTCCAATACATATCCTGTCATTCTATTGGACTTTCTTATTTAGATGAGAAATTATTCCCTCCTTCAGCCTTAACTTTGAGCCCACCACACTAAGAGTATACTTGGGATAAATTTTTTTTTTTTTTTCCCCCGAGACAGAGTCTTGCTCTGTCATCCAGGCTGGAGTGCAGCGGCACGATCTCGGCTCACTGTAACCTCCGTCTTCCAGGTTCAAGCAATTCACCTGCCTCAGCCTCCCAAGTAGCTGAGATTATAGGCGTGCACCACCATGCCCAGCTAAGTTTTGTATTTTTAGTAGAGATGGGGTTTCACCTTGTTGGCCAGGCTGGTCTTGAACTCCTGACCTCACGATCCACTCGCCTCGGCCTCCCAAAGTGCTGGGATTACAGGCATGAGCCAGTGCGCCCAGTCTGAATAATTGTTTTCTAACGTATCTATGTTTGCCTATACTGCTACTCAATGGGCCCTTCTGTGCTCACTCATGGCATCTTCCCATCAGAGAATATCTGAGTGGTAGAACATTCTTGCATGTTTTGGTTTTTACAGAAATATTTTTAGTTGCCATTAAAGGCTGACATCCATTGTTGGAAACCATTCTTTTCTGCCTCTTTGGATGCATCTGAGTTTGAAGTTTTACTTTCCTTCTACCCCATTAGGTTGTATGTTTGCTTTTGTTTTGTAGAGTTTAGTCAGCAGCTTAAGGCTTAGGAACATTAATACTAAGCATGCCATCTTAGCCTTTTTTGTGAGCCCAAGGAGTATATTTGGGGTGAGGGGTGGGAATTAAAGTTACTGGGGAGGCAGAAAGTGGTCATTTTCTTTTTGAGATGGAGTCTCACTCTGTCACCCAGGCTGGAGTGCAGTGGCACGATCTTGGCTCACTGGAACCTCTGCCTCTTGGGTTCAAGCAGTTCTCCTGTCTCAGCCTCTCGAGTAGCTGGGACTGTAGGCACATGCCATCACAGGCCTGGCTAGTTTTTGTATTTTTAGTTAAAATGAGGTTTCACCATATTGATCATCCTGGTCTGGAACTTCTGACCTCAGGCGGTCCACCTGCCTCGGCCTCTCAGAGTGTTGGGATTACAGGCGTGAGCCACTACCCCAGCCGCAAGTGGTCATTTTGAAATCAGAAGTTGTATCTTTTTGTGGTTGAGGGTGATAAAAACTGAAAAACTGTTTTCAAGTTTGGAGCCTGGGAGGGAAAACGCAGCAATTTGTTCTGGTCTCCCTCAGCTCAGTGTGTTTGAAGCCAAAAGCCTGTTTGTGTGCCTCTCCCAATTCATTTACTCCTAGTTCATTTGCTACTTGTATAGAAATTTCTTATGTCTAATTTGATTCTTCAGCGGATACTTGAGAACATTGTTGCTGCAATCTCTAAAATCAGAGTTTTTAAAGAAAGAATTTTTATTAATAACCTCAAGTACTTCTCCTACATCCTGAGACTCACTCTTTGTATAGGCTTTTCTCCCTGGAGAATCCTACATGCTGTATTGATGTCTCAATTCTGTGTGCTGCTTCTTCAGTGCTACCTCGCCCTGGCCAAAGGAGGCTTATCTGATGACCATGTCCTCATCCTGCCCATTGGACACTACCAGTCAGTGGTGGAGCTTTCAGCAGAGGTGGTAGAAGAGGTGGAGAAGTATAAGGCCACACTGAGACGGTTCTTTAAGAGTCGAGGGAAACGGTGTGTTGTATTTGAGAGAAATTATAAGAGCCATCACCTCCAGCTACAGGTAGGTGATCTGTTCATAGAAATGTGGAAGGGCACTATGGGGACCTTGATATTGGTAAATAAATATTTAAATAGGCCAGGCGAAGTGGCTCACGCATGTAATCCTAGCACTTTGGGAGGCCAAGGTGGTTGGATTGCCTGAGTTCAGGAGTTCGAGACCAGGCTGGGCAACACGGTGAAACCCTGTCTCTACTAAAAATACAAAAAAATTAGCTGGGCATGGTGGTGGGCGCCTGTAATGCCAGCTACTTCGGAGGCTGAGACAGGAGAATCGTTTGAACCTGGGAGGCGGAGGTTGCAGTGAGCCGAGATTGTGCCACTGCACTCCAGCCTGGGTGACAGAATGAGACTCCATCTTAAAAAAAAAAATTTAAATAATGTTTAGCTTTAATATTTAAAGTATTTAATATTTTTATATTAATATTTAAATAACGTTCATTTAAAAAGTTTTTAAAAAGTATCTGGTGGTAACCCAAGAGACTTCACAGGGAAGTGTGTGGTCAGTACATGTAAAGAGCATAGATAGTAAGTTCTTTGTTTAGAAAAGGAATGGGTAGTTGAGGAAGTTCTGAGGAAGTGCCAAAGAAGATGTGCAGCTTGTTGGATAAGAATTTAGAAGAAAGTGAGTATTTTGTGTGGAGGCCCAGCATGAGGGAAAACTTAGTGGTAGGAAATAGTCTCAAAGCCTGCATGGGGCTAGCAGCTCAGAAAATCAGATTGTAGATCATTTGTAGTTGTGGTGGTTTTCTTTTTGGCACATTTGTTAAGTTTTCAAATGGGCCTAACTCTGCCACATATATAATATCGGAGATGGCAAAGGCTTGTGACAGAGATATCTCTCTTAAGCCTTTCCTGCATCAGAGAATGGCTCCCACATGTGGCAGGCTATCTCATAAGTTTAAGTCCTTACAGACTGGCTGACACAGGCTTGTCTGGCCTGAGGAGATTCTGTGCTGAGGGGTGTTTCTCTACCCCTGTGATGGATTTGCTACTTCTCAGAGACCGTGCAGGCACAACTTCTCTGGGACCTGCACAAAGAATTTCTCCTTTCTCCCCAACCCCCAGGTCATTCCTGTCCCAGTCAGCTGCTGTGCTACTGATGACATTAAAGATGCCTTCATTACCCAGGCCCAGGAGCAGCAGATAGAGCTGTTGGAAATCCCAGAGCACTCTGACATCAAGCAGGTGAAACGGGATGGTGATATTCAGGGAAGAGTAAAGATCTGTTTTTTCTGTTGTTGTTTCTTTGTGTTTTTGAGACAGAGTCTCACTCTGTTGCCCAGGTTGGAGTGCAGTGGCACAATCTTGGCTCACTGCAACCTCCACCTTCCAGGTTCAAGTGATTCACCCACCTCAGCCTCCCTAGTTGTTGGGACTACAGGCATGTGCCACCATAACGTGGCTAGTTTTTGTATTTTCAGCAGAGACGGGGTTTCACCATATTGGTCTGGCTGGTCTCGAACTGCTGACCTTGTGACCTGCCCGCCTCGGCCTCCCAAAGTGCTGGTGTTAGAGACATGAGCCACCCATGCCCGGCAAGATCTGGTTTTTGACATGTTGAGCCTAAGGTGCTATCAAGGCATTCCAAAAATGTTATTAAATAGGCAATGGGTCGGGCATGGTGGCTCACACCTGTAATCCAACATTTTGGGAGGCCAAGGCGGGAGGAGCACTTGAAGCCAGGAGTTCAATACCAGCCTGGGCAACAAAGTGAGACACCTTGTCTCTACAAAAAATTAAGAAATAAGCTGTGCATGGTGGCACGTGCCTGTAGTCTTAGCTACTCGGGAGGCTGAGAGTCAGGAGGATCACTTCAGCCTAGGAGTTGGAGGATGCAGTGAGGTATGATTGCACCACTGGACTTCAGCCTGGGCAACATAGCAAAACCCTGTCTCAAAAAAACACACAAAAAACCAAAAGAGGCAGTGGACAATTTGGAACTAGAGTACTGGGTATTGACTAGACTGGAGATGAAGAGGGCATTACTCCAAAGTTTAGTGCTTTCCTGGGAAGAGCAAGAAATTAGAATTTCCTAAGGTAGGAACTTAGAAGGATGGATGCCACTGGGAGGATATTGGTAGTATCTTCCAGTTAGGCTTTGTAAGCCCTAGTTCCACTAAGTGGCTTGGGATCTGTAGCAACATACACATCTTTTTTCTTGTGCATTTAGACTGAATTCTTTGCCTAGAGATAAACAAGGATTATAGATTTTTAAAGCATTATTGGACATCCTCATACAACTCTGTTTATTTTAGATTGCACAGCCAGGAGCAGCATATTTTTATGTTGAACTTGACACAGGAGAAAAGCTTTTCCACAGAATTAAAAAGAATTTTCCTTTGCAGTTTGGAAGGTATGTTTTTCTTCTTTTCAATGTATTTTCACTAGACTTTGTATGAACAAAGTGGTGGGTACATGGGACAATTGATAAAAAGCTAAATTGTAAACAGTCCTTGCCCCAAAGGACCCATGGTCTTAGGGCAGATGTTTACATATATGACAGTAATGTAATGTAGAGTGTGAAGAGTACCATGACAGAGTTTTGGAGAATAATGTGCTGTAGAAATTCAGAAAAGGGACAGCTCATTTCTACTTGGTGAAAACCTTCATGAAAGTGGCAAAGTTAAACCTGAGAGTCATATTTACAGGGCAAAGATTGGGGTGAGGGCATTCTAGCCAGAAGTGCTAGGGAACTTTAATTGAGCACATACTCTGTGCCAAGAACTTTACACATACATGACTCATTTAATCTTCACAGCTCTGTAAGGTAGGTACTGTCATCCCGATTTACCAGTGTGAAGAATGAGGCTCTAGAGTAGTGCCCAGTAGACTTTTCACAACGATGGAAATGCTCAAATACATGCACTGTCCAATACAGTAGTGACTAGCCACTTGTGGCCACTGAGTGCTGAAATGTGGCTAATGTGACTGAGGAACTAAATTTTTGATTTTATTTAAGTAATTAGAATTTAAATTTAAATAGCCATACCTGGCTTATGGTTACCCCACTGGATAGCAGGCTATAGAGAGGTTAGGTAACTTGTCTGTAGTCACACAGTGGTAGGTTCAAATGCAGGCCTGTTGGACCTCAAAACTTAGGTCTTAACCTCAGTATTCTACAGTATGGTAAAGGCCTGGAGGAGGCTTCAGTTCCTTTCCTCGTATCAGGCAAAACATGACTGCAAAACCATAGAGGGAGTAACATAACTTAGGCAAAGATTGAAGATGGAAAGTTGCTGACAAGAAGATACAGTTTGAAGGGGAGTGGAAAGTGTGTAGAAGAGAGTATCTGATGCTGGTGTCTGTGATTTGCAGCTATTTCTTCTCCTCTAGTTAACAATGGGCTTTGAGTGAGCCTTGAACCTGTCTTGGACTAATTCAGAAAGCCTCCAAGAGACTGCCGCTTTAGATAGGTCCAGTAAATGTAGTTGTCTGCATTTTTCAGAAAGATAAATGGGAACAAGTGTGTTACGAGCTTTAGACATCTGACATGATTTTTTGTTGTTGCCTCAGCAACAGATGCAGTTATGAACATTGACAACATAAGCACACGATTGCAGATACACATAGGTGTATAAAGCACACAAAAAGGAGATTCTCTGAATGGTTTTGTGCTTATGATAGTTGTATTTTCAGTATTGAGTAATTATCAAGATACTAATTTATAGTTATATAGCATTTTATAGTTAACAAAATATTTGAAATGGCATTTTTTTCAGCTGTACAAGAAAGGTAGTTCTATTTTCCTTTTACATTTGAAATAGGCTCAAAGTTTGCCTATTGAAAAGAGCGTAGGTTCTTTGACTTTTAGAGCATTCGTGATTTGTTTCTAACTCTTCTATTTATTGTAACTTCAGAGTGGAAAATGAACCACATAAATGTGTAATAGAATTATTTCTAATATATCAAAATAAATAAAAATATAAAGCAATGGCAATTAGAAGGCAGCTTGTGTGTGTGTGTCTGTATGTAGTTATTCCTTAGTCCTAAGAACCAAGATAAGTTGTTTTGTTGATATTGGGCTTATGCTGCTGTTATGTGGGCCTGAGTCCCCTAGAAGGAGAGGCAGAGGAGTTTTAAATCAGAGTGGGTACGACTAGGCTCCTGACTCTGCAAACTCCATGTCTAGTTGAGGTGACAAAACTACAGTTTAAGGCAGGTTGTAATCACAGTTAATATGGTACTTTGTGTTATCTCTGTACCTCACAAAAACCTTGTATGGTGGGTATTCTTATTTGCATTTCATAGGTGAGGAAATTAAGACTCAGAGATGAAATCATGTGTCTGAATCATAGATAGCAAGCGGCAAAGCTGGAAATGGAATCCAGTCTCTGATCTTTCTCACACCAGGGCCTGCCCTTTTTCTACTATGTGGTGTTGCTTCTCTAAGTACCAATAATATAGTTCCGAGTTTTTTAAGAGAGGGAGAAGCAAGTGGGGTTTGAAGGATCAGGAATTAAATAGTACCTGAGCCGGTCATTTAAAATGGGTATGATTTGATCAATAGTATGCCAGAGATGGCACTCAGGGCAGGAGAGCAAAGTCAGATAAATCTGCATACCTTCCTTGGGTGATGTTGAGGAGAACTCAGGCTTTTAGTTTCCATTTTGACTTCTTTGTGCTCCTTCTGCAGGGAGGTCCTGGCCAGTGAAGCCATCCTTAATATTCCTGGTAAATCTGACTGGAGGCAGTGTCAGATCAGTAAGGAAGACGAGGAGACCCTGGCTCGCCGCTTCCGGAAAGACTTTGAGCCCTATGACTTTACTCTGGATGACTAAACAAAGGGAAGACCTTTTTATGAACTTCATAGGAAGTAGTAAAGCCTTTTTCTTTTTTTTTTTTAATTAGAAGAATTTTTTTTGAGACAAGGTCTCGCTCTGTCACCCAAGCAGGACTGCAATGGCGCAATTTTGGCTCACTGTAGCCTCAACCTCCTGGGCTCTAGAGTTCTTCCCACCTCAGCCTCCTGAGTAGCTGGGACCACCAGGCGCATGCTACCATGCCTGGCAAACTTTTTAAATTTTTGGGTAGATGGTAGAGACGGGGGTCTCCCTGTGTTGCCCAGGCTGGTCTGTAATGCCTAGGCTTAAGGGATCCTCCGCCTTGGCTTCTTAACCTGCTGGGATTACAAGCATGAGCCACCATTCCTGGCCTAGAAGCATATTTTTAAAGAAACTACAATCTCCCATGGGGACTGTTTCCCTGCCTCTTTTGTGCAGTCCCATGGAACTTGCCTGCAGCAAGAGGCCTAAGATTGAATCTTTTTGGGGAAAAGTCATTCTAGGATGAAAATCCTATGTTAAGGCTGGGCGTGGTGGCTCATGCTTATAATCCCAGCACTTTGGGAGGCCGAGGCGGGCAGATCACAAGGTCAAGAGATGGAGACCATCCTGGCCAACATGGTGAAACCCTGTCTCTGCTAACAGTACAAAAATCAGCTGGGTGTGGTGGCGCGCATCTATAGTCCCAGCTACTCAGGAGGCTGAGGCAGGACAATTGCTTGAACCTGGGAGGTGGAGTTTGCAGTGAGCCAAGGTCGCACCACTGCACTCCAGCCTGGGTGACAGAGCAAGACTCTGTCCAAAAAAAAAAAAATCCTGTGTTAAAAGCATGTCGCCAGGCACAGTGGCTCATGCCTGTAATCCCAGGACTTTGGGAGGCCGAGGCAGGTGGATCACCTGAGGACTGGAGTTTGAGACCAGCCTGGCCAACATGGTGAAACCCCGTCTTTACTAAAACTACAAAAATTAGCTGGGTGTGGGGCCAGGTGCTTGTAATCTCAGCCACTCGGGAGGCTGAGGCAGGAGAATGGCTTGAACCCGGGAGGTGGAGGTTGCTATGAGCCGAGATTGCTCCATTGCACTCCAGCCTAGGTGACAGCGAAACTCCATCTCAAAAATAAAAGAATAAAAGTATGTCTGTCATCCAGCTTCAAGTACAGCTTGTGTATATCAACATTTTCAAAAACCTTTAAACTACCAAATGAAATCCAGATGTTTTTCCATGGTTGAGAAGTGTCTTGTGTTCATGTTGCCTATGACCATTGAAATGAAGTAGTATGTGTAATTGGAGGGGCTAGAGCTTTAGGCCCAGCTGTTCCAGAATCACACAGGGCAGTTTCTCCCTGAGCAACCCAAAGTGGAGAAGGGATCCAAGGCTTTTGCTACTTTTCTCTTAAAGCATTCATCTTATTCATAGAGAAGAGCCCATTTAGTCCTTCAGATATTTAACTCTTATGTGCCAGGCGTTTTTCTAAGCTCCAGGACCATAGTCTTGTCCCAGTATGGTCCCTGTTGTCCCAGAGATTACAGTTTAATGGGGAAGAGAAAGGACAGATTTAAAAAAAAAAAAAGGATAAATTCTGCTTTGGATATTGTTGTTTTATGTGCTTGATATATCTAATGTGTGTCTTTTGTGCTGGTGGGCAGTTCTAAACTCATTGGTACCTGGGTTGGTTACAGGGCTTTGGAGATCATCAAGGTATAGGCCATAGGTGAAATTAAGATAGGGTAAATACAGTCCTGAGCTGAAGATGATTGCCTAAGAAGTATCAGTTTGTGTTTTGTTTTGTTTTTTTTTTTGGAGACGGAGTCTCGCTCTGTTGCCCAGGCTGGAGTGCAGTGGCCAGATCTCAGCTCACTGCAAGCTCCGCCTCCCAGGTTTACGCCATTCTCCTGCCTCAGCCTCCCGAGTAGCTGGGACTACAGGTGCCCACCACCACGCCTGGCTAATTTTTTGTATTTTTAGTAGAGACGGGGTTTCACCATGTTAACCAGGATGGTCTTGATCGCCTGACCTCGTGATCCGCCCGTCTCGGCCTCCCAAAGTGCTGGGATTATAGGCTTGAGCCACCGCGCCTGGCCAGAAATATCAGTATTTAAGGAGGGCTTGAAAATAGTGATCTAACATTTACATGGAGAAGGAGCAAAGAGAATACTACATAGTAGGAGCAAAAAGAAAAATATTTTTACCTTTATATTGGGCACTTACGGTCCAGACACTGTTTCATTTAATCTTCACAAAATCTCTGTGAGGTAGGTATTACCTCTATTTTACATGAAAAAGAATAAAAACTGAGACTCAGAAAATTGAAGATTGTGGAGCCTGGGGTCAACAGGCTTAGGCTTTTTAAAAATTTGAAGGCTGGTCGAGGTGGCTCACGCCTGTAATCACAGCACTTTGGGAGGCTGAGATCAGGAGTTCAAGAGCAGCTTAACCAACATGGTGAAACCCTGTCTCTACTAAAATAGAAAAAATTAGCCAGGCACGGTGGCACACACCTGTAATGCCAGCTACTTGGGAGGCGGAGGCAGTAGAATTGCTTAAACCCGGGCAGTAGAGGTTGCAGTGAGCTGAGATCACGCCATTGCACTCCAGCCTGGGTGACAGGAGTGAAACTCTTGTCTCAACAACAAAAAACAACTCAAATTACTCATGGCCCTGGGAATGGGGGCATTTAAAAAGTTAACAAAGGGAACCAAGCTGGTTTCCACAAAGATGGCCACTTCCGGGTCAGCCCAATCATCAGTATCCCTGGGTCCTCAGCATCCCTTCCTCTTTTGAGTGGGAATTATGAGATTACAGCCCCACCTATGGAAACTGAGCACACTAGCACTGGCCATGCTGTACATACATCAAATGAGAGGGCTTCATACTGTTATAACAATCTGTACCACAATTCTCTGTGCGGTCTGCCCAGCTCTAAATGACATGTCCTCAGAGGCGCCATCATCTCCAAGTCCATGGAAACCATGCACTTATAGAAACCAGAACCTCCCATACCACATGTTACTAATGACCTACAACATTGACTTGGTCTGTATCATGCAGTGCTCAACATTCTGGTTGCAGCATCACATTTCTCAAGAATTTGATTCCATGCTGACTCCTTTACTTGGAGTATTGAGATTCCCCAGGTACAGTGAAAGTATGAGCCTCTCAAATGGAAGACCAGAAGCTGGTTCCCCTATGCTATGTCAATCCGCCACCCGGAAGCACTTGCTGCACCAACAGCATTCCCAAAGCTTGCCTCTGCAGCCCTGCAGCACCCATTAGAAACACTTCTCACAATGAACTGCTGTGCTGGCAGAGCCCTAATTGGACTGCTGGACAGCAAGCTCTGTGAGGCATCTAGGAAAAAAGTTCCCGAAATCCGGAGAAACATTCTTCACTCCGGAATAGCGTCACATCATTGAGTCATTTGGGATGACGGGGCATATCATGGAGCAGGTGTATTGGGAAGTCAGTGAACAGTAAGGCTAATTCATTAGTGGGCCTGCTGGCGTAGTATTTTTCCAGTTCCGCAGCCTTTAAATCATTGGTGGTCTTTAGCGTGCCGGATCAGCGGGTGGTGGAGTTGGAGGATAGATGGCAGGGATCTGAAGAAAGGTGAAGTGTAGACGAGTGGAGACAATGTGAAGTTTAGAAAAGACTAATTGCCGGGCGTGGTGGCTCACGTCTATAATCCCAGAACTTTGGGTTGCCGAGGTGGGAGGACTGCTTGAGGCCAGGAGTTCGGGACCAGCCTGGGCAACATAGCAAGACCATGTCTCTACAAAAAACAAAAAATCCAAGCGAGGTGGTGCGCGCCTGCAATCCCAACTACTCGGGAGGTGGGAAGATCGCTCAATTCCGGGAGGTCGAGGCAGCAGTGAGCCGTGATCATGCCACTGCACTCCAGCCTGGGCAACGGAGCAAGACCCCATCTTAATTAAAAAAATATATTTAATACAGGAGAGACTGGACTGCTTTGAAAAGTGGATTTGATGGGAATGCGAGGTTTGGAGAGATCTTATGTTTTCCAAGACTAGAAAAACATTGTGGTTCCGTTCAGCCCTCCCAGAAAATACCTAGGGGACTTAAAGAGCGGACCGAGTACCTGTTCGTTTCTCCACCCCTTAGCCGGCAGGGCTCCGGCGGCGCCCTGGGAAAACGTAGGGAAGGGCCGTTCTCGTAGCGGTTACCGGAAGTGACGCATTCATTCTCGCGAGAAGGAAGACGCGCGAGCATCGGCGGCCCGGAACCGGCCTTGGAACAGCGGCGGAGCCTGAGGCCGCTTGCCCTCCCGCCCCATGGAGCGGCCCCCGGGGCTGCGGCCGGGCGCGGGCGGGCCCTGGGAGATGCGGGAGCGGTTGGGCACCGGCGGCTTCGGGAACGTCTGTCTGTACCAGCATCGGGTGAGGCGGGGCGCGAGAGGGAGCGGCGGTGGGTTTGAGCGTCTGTGGAACACAGGGCTGACAGTGTGGGATAGATGGTTAGTGGGACCTTGGGCAGTATTTGTGGGCCAGTAGGCTTGTGTGTGTGTATGAGAGAGAAAGATACTCTGCCTGTGTGTCCAAAGTTGTATCTGAGGTACTGGGCATAGATAGAGCTGTTGCGGGGAACTTGGGTATGACTGTCAAGCTGTGACCAGGTGTTTAGTGAGTGTGACAGTGCGCGTGTGTCTCTGTGAATGTAGAGTGTCAGGGTGTGTGAGGCAGATGCACGTCACAGTGTGTATGTGTGAGCACGAATGTGTGAGAAGAGGGTTGAAGGAGACTGCCTGTTGGAATGTGTGCGTCCGTGTGTATGGGTCCGTGTGTGCGCGCGCTTGCTTGGAGGCCGTGTGATATCAGTGGGGACTGCAGTAGACAAGGAAGGCTTCATGATGGGTCCAGAGTTAAACCTTTGGAAGTATGGATGGGCTTTGGAATTGGGGATGTATTCCAGGTCGGGACAGTATGAGGGTAAGTTGGTGCAGATCATGGCTTCAAACGGAAGGCGATATTAATAGATTGGAGATGGGGGGCGCTCCAGTCAGTGGAGGACAGTTAACATCAGACTCAAGAATTTTACTTCGATTTAATAGAGAATGTTTAACCATTGTAGCAGCAGTTAAAAAAAATAATATTTGGGTCATGTTTGTGTGTTTGTTAGTTTTTGTTTTCGAGACGGAGTCTCACTCTGTTGCCCAGGCTAGAATGTAGTGGCGCGATCTCGGCTCACTGTAGCCTCCTCCTGGGTTCAAGCGATTCTCCTGCCTCAGCCTCCTGAGTAGCTGGGATTACAGGCGCCCGCCACCGCGCTGGGCTAATTTTTTGTATTTTTAGTACAGACAGGGTTTCACCATGTTGGCCAGGCTGGTCTCGAACTCCTGACCTCAGGTGATCCATCTGTCTCAGCCTCCCAAAGTGCAGAGATTATAGGCGTGAGCCACTGCGTCAGGCCTGGGACATGTATTTTTTGTTATAAAAAATGATAATCAATAAAAGCTGTGAACCCTTTCCCCAGAAAAATGCACAGATGCACATCCACGCAACCATGCATTGCCATTTGAGAGGTTCATGCTTTCCTAAAGGACATTTTAGGTAAATAGACCCCGGACTAACACTTCCTGTAATACAGGCTTTGTTTTGTTCCCTATAAAATAGGTATAGTATAATACTTGCATGCGTCATGGGTTTGAGAGTTAAATAAAATAATAATGTATGTAAAGCTAAATACAGTACCTGACCCATGAAAGCCCTCAACTGTTAGCACCTGCTGCTACTTTGTTGTTGCTGCTGTGATCATAATGCTCCTCATTAATTGGCCTTAAACAAGGAAATGTCAAGATTAAAAGTGTTGTTCTAGGAAAATGGTTTTGTGAAGGATAAATTTGAGTGGATTAACATGTGGGACAAGATGAACAGTTAAGATTTTACTAAAATGCCTGGGCTTGGATTGTGAATAGAGAAATGAATTCAAGAGGAAAAGTAATAATTTGTTATCTAAAGGAACATGGGTGTAGTGAGAAAGCTCATAATTTGGGGTGGGAGAAAGGGGAGATAGGTGTCTACTTGGGAGAAATAGGCATGTTTAGGGTAATTAGAATGACAACTGAAACTGATAGAACTGAGGAAGTTTTGTGAACCAGGTTTCTAGATAGGGTGTGGGAAAAAATCTTGGAGAAGGAGAATGGAAGGTGAAGGACTAAGGCATTAAATCCTATGATAGCAGGATAAGTAGTAAATTTAATAATTCTCACCATC